TCTATGTTAAAGGCCTCTATTCCAGTCTGTCTGTCTACATAATAGGGCCTCTCTCTTATTGCTCTGCCACAGACATCCTTCCGCGTGCTGGCTAACTGCAGCTGTAAGCCGGAGACAGAAATCCAGAAGCCTGTTTTTATGAGAGCTTGAAACTGTTTTGGAGGAGTTCTGATCTGTTTTGGAAAGGCTTTGGATTGTTTTCGAGCATTTTGTTGAACTGCTCATGTAAACCAGGCAGGGAACACCAACATCCTGTTTTTATGAGGGGTTTTGGGCTGTCGTGCTGGACTGAACTGAACTGGATTCAGACTGTGTGTTTATGTTTTGCAGAAGTACAGTGCAAAAGTGTTTATGGGAAAGCTAATGAGTATTTTCTTTTTTTTTTGCGGGGGTAGATCAGCTTAATATTGCAGATAGATTGTAACTTCCATCAATGTAATTGTCTGCATCAGTTCCAATCCCCCATGTTTTTTTATATATATACAGTGGGGGAAAAAAGTATTTAGTCAGCCACCAATTGTGCAAGTTCTCTCACTTAAAAAGATGAGAGAGGCCTGTAATTTTCATCATAGAGACACGTCAACTATGACAGACAAAATGAGAATTTTCTTTCCAGAAAATCACATTGTAGGATTTCTAATGAATTTATTTGCAAATTATGGTGGAAAATAAGTATTTGGTCAATAACAAAAGTTTCTCAATACTTTGTTATATACCCTTTGTTGGCAATGACACAGGTCAAACGTTTTCTGTAAGTCTTCACAAGGTTTTCACACACTGTTGCTGGTATTTTGTCCCATTCCTCCATGCAGATCTCCTCTAGAGCAGTGATGTTTTGGGGCTGTCGCTGGGCAACACGGACTTTCAACTCCCTCCAAAGATTTTCTATGGGGTTGAGATCTGGAGACTGGCTAGGCCACTCCAGGACCTTGAAATGCTTCTTACGAAGCCACTCCTTCGTTGCCCGGGCGGTATGTTTGGGATCATTGTCATGCTGAAAGACCCAGCCACGTTTCATCTTCAATGCCCTTGCTGATGGAAGGAGGTTTTCACTCAAAATCTCACGATACATGGCCCCATTCATTCTTTCCTTTACACGGATCAGTCGTCCTGGTCCCTTTGCAGAAAAACAGCCCCAAAGCATGATGTTTCCACCCCCATGCTTCACAGTAGGTATGGTGTTCTTTGGATGCAACTCAGCATTCTTTGTCCTCCAAACACGACGAGTTGAGTTTTTACCAAAAAGTTCTATTTTGGTTTCATCTGACCATATGACATTCTCCCAATCCTCTTCTGGATCATCCAAATGCACTCTAGCAAACTTCAGACGGGCCTGGACATGTACTGGCTTAAGCACAAACTTTTGTTATTAACCAAATACTTATTTTCCACCATAATTTGCAAATAAATTCATAAAAAATCCTACAATGTGATTTTCTGGATTTCTTTTCTCATTTTGTCTGTCATAGTTGACGTGTACCTATGATGAAAATTACAGGCCTCTCTCATCTTTTTAAGTGGGAGAACTTGCACAATTGGTGGCTGACTAAATACTTTTTTCCCCCACTGTATATTGTCAAATAAGTGTGGATCATCATTATTTGGTCCGTAAATGTTAATGAGCCATATCTGTTTATTGTCCAATAACATATTTAAAATAATCCATCTACCTTGCATATCTATTTGGAAAATTTGCACATTCGGATCGAAATTACTATTAATTAATATCATCCCTCCTTTTGAATTTCTTTGCCCATGGGAGAAGTATATCCCCCCCCCCCCCCCCCCCATTCCTTTTTCCACGCAACTTCATCTAGAATTGTTGAATGAGTTTCCTGTAAACAATAGATATTATATTCCTTCTCTTTGAGCCATGTAAATATTGTTCTTCTTTTGTTATCAGCTAAGCCATTACAATTATAACTGGCTATACTTATTTCACCATACACCATAATGAGATACAAGTTTCAAGTCTATTCATCATTATATATGTTTGTAAATTTACCAATAAAAAAAACCGTAATGATTGAGTGTCCATATAGCTGTACCATGATATTTGCATTGCTACTAAGTATCCCTTCAATTGTTCTCCACTAATTCCTCCGCTAAAGCCCCTCCCCATCCCAAGTTGAGCCGTCATCCCAGTGATTGGCATCCCACCCACATCCCTCCGGATCCCTAGGGCCTCGAGAGGCCAGGACCCATCCATCGGAAACAGCACACAGTGCCACGCACAAAACAGAAGCAGAAGCCGCCAAAAGCATTTCCAATGTTGTCACCTCTATATATAACTATTTAAAAATATATATCTATTCAAATATCTTGCATATCTTATTTTCCATCATTATCAATTACTATGCGTAATAATGTCGGCAGTTCATGCGTAGGATTTTAACATATAACCCAGATTGTCATTGTATTACATTTTATTTATTGACAAGCAATTATTATCCTAGCAAATAATTACCGTGGTCCATCCCATACCCCCCCCCCCCCCCCCAACATCCCCACCCCCCCACAACAGATGCCGGACAAACACACGCACATACTCACATACTCCAACACACTCATCCCCCCTCCACAATCCACCATAAAATCAGATACTCAACGGTTGTTATATCCCAGAGCCCAACTCAAGAAAGGACCTGATTTACGAGTGCACATACAGTTAAAGCTGATTGAGAAAGCATGCAGGATTGAGCAGAAATTGACAACAATGTGAGATTTGATTAATCTACTTAATCTATGTCAAGTCCTAGGTGAGTAGTTTCTTACAGTACAGTAGTGTTGCACGGTATACTGAAACTTCTGTACTTTTTTCGATGCTAGAACATGAAAAACGGTTCGGTACTAGCATTTTTGTTACTTTCGGTACTTCTGTCAAATGTGTCTCACAGATCAAGTCTGTATCAGCAAAGCTGATGTCCCCTTTTATAGCACAAGCACACGTGCCTGCTCCACTTAGCCATTCTGGGCTACATCATGTTATCTCCCCACTGATGCCGCACAGAAGTTAACACACTTCAATAATGCGACATGGCATGTAGAAATGTAGAAACAGTTAATTACTGTTCGCAAAACAATGTCCATACAGGCTAGAACACTTTACAAAGCAAGAAGATACCGGTATCTTCCAGCTTTGTAGCCTAACTTTCCTTGCTAGCTTACAGCTGAAGCTAACCAATTCACTACCCTAGTACTTTGTTTTTTATAATATGCAAATCATGCAAATCAAAATATGCTGATTTCAAAGCCGATTGCCACCAAAACTTTATTCATTCACTTAATTGGTCTCTCTCTCTCACTTCTCTCCCAAAGATGATCTATTGCCTCAGTGAAAGTCTGACTGTGTGTGTGAATAGGGCTCTGAAGGGCCGCACCACCCTTGCCTCGTGAATTACGTCATTATAGAGACAGAGCACACTTAAAATATGCTACTTCTATGCAAATGTTGTTGATCAGTACAATAAAATAAGTCCCAAATGGAAGGGAAACAGATTGTTTGTTTGTCATCTGTAGCCCCATGAAATCAGCCAAAACAAGCTCAATAACTTGATGCATACAAACACTCCTATTGAATATGCATTCACCTGTATATTGTGAATAGGCCTAGGCTACATCTTGATTTACCCAGTTTATCGATAGAGATTTACCATTCAAATAAATGATTACCATTGTTATGTAGTTGAATTGGTAAAAACAGAGTCAAATTGATTGTATGATTGTAGAATTGATTCATTAATGCAACATGGATGTTGATGTAAAACATTTCAAATGGAATGATACTGAACTCAAAAGATGCCCAATGATTGAACAGAGCAGTAGCTGAGTATCTGTCTGGATCAAGTGCCATTCTGTGACTTTGGCTAATATGCTTTCTTTTTTTGCTGTGTTATTGTTTTGGTATTGTGATATTATAACTTGTATCGGTATCGAATTAAACACTACAGTACAGCATATTACACACAAGCAATGACAAACACTGAGTCATTTACATGTACTGTTAATATGAATATGTCATGGATGGGCAACTGATGGGGGTGGGAGCCACAAAAAAACTCATGAGGGGCCGCAGTGCCTCGTAGGTCTGCGTACCCCCCCCCCCCCCCCCCCCCCACACACACACACACACACACACCTTGTGAGTAAAACATTTTAGCGGCCCCCTCTTGTGACAGCGAAGAGGAAAAATAGCAGTTTTACAGCGAATGTTGCCATAGGGTGGAGGCAAATGTTTGCAGTTTTTAATATGATAGCTGATTATCAATTAATTAGACCATGCTTACTACAAGTTTTGATAGCTGGCTGCTAGACTAACTTACCAATCTAAAAAGGTTTTGCTGACAAATTTCAAAATTGCACCTTGTGTATTCTATTATTCTAACTCAACAGTAAGTTGAAACCCCGACTGAGTTCCCCCCCAAAAAAAATTGGTCTGCAATCCTACGAAAGAGGGGCCAGCAGTTGCCCATCCCTGGAATATGTCATTATGCAACACATTCTTACAATGCAGATAGTGCTCTTTGCCTTTACCCTCTTAACTTTAATTGATGTTAAGTTATTCAAATGTCTGTTTTCTTATGTAAACAAAAGCTAAGGTCTTTCTCCCTTTGGTATAGCCATGTATATCCATGTCAGGGAGCCTAAACTTCCTGATTTCTACCAGTGAAATGAAAATGTGCTAGTTCTAGATTGTGGTTTGGATAATTGTGATGTTTATGATAAAAACGTAATGTTGTTAATATAGTAATGACTATATGCCATGGTGAAATTCCCCTTTAAGGAAATGGGTTCAGTTGGTATGGGGTCATGTACTCTAATACACATGAATAAGGTCCATCACGCATCTGACACCTTTAATTAAGTTTCCATCCAAATGGATCGTCGTCAGGTCTAGATTGGAAAGACTCTGGGCATTATTTATCTCTCTTTGATCTGCATCTCTCTTCCGGTGTGTAATATAATAGCTCTGTGTGTGTGTGTGTGTGTGTGTCCACAGTCGGAACCAGCTGTGTGCTCTGCCAGCCTCCCTGTGTGGGTTGCCCCTACGAGTCCTCAATGCCAGCAACAACAAGCTGGTGTGTATACCTGAGGCCATCGGGCAGCTCAGGAGCCTCATGGAGCTGGTAAGAGATTCTCTCTTTCTCGTGTGTGACAGTGTCAGTCTCAGCTCTTAGTTTCCTGTGTGAGTTCCTAGCCAGGCCTTATGTAACTGTTCTGTTCTCCACTGAGGGGTGAAATGAATGGAACCAGCCCTCATGGAGCTAGAGCAGGGAAGGAGAGGAGCGGGGACGAGGGGAGACATTGTCTGACTCCATGTGAGGATACATGGTAGAACAGTGGGATAGGGAGCATTAATATGGATGTGTTATGAGCCATACAAATCCCTAGTTCTTACCTTAGCTCTTGTACACAAGGGGCGACTAACCATCCTCCTGGAGAGTTACTGGGTGAACAGACCAGCCATTCTCTAACACACCTGATTCTCTTATCTGCAGCTCATCAGGACCTTGATTAGATGAATCAGATGTGTTTGAGTAGGGCTGGAACAAAATCCTGCACACCCATCAGTAAAGTGTTAGTTGTGTGTGTGAGTTAACTCAGTGTGTTGTGCCCCCTACAGGATGTGAGCTGTAATGAGATCACTGCTCTGCCCCGTCACATCGGCCGACTCAAGGCCCTCCGAGAACTCAACGTCCGCAGGAACCTGCTCTGTGTCCTACCTGAAGGTGAGTTTAGACCCATGAAACCACATTACATGCCATATGTCTTTCCTGTGAGTTTTGATACCTAAGGAAATGTTTTCCAGATGGGTCAAGAAGAGACTCGGGGACCCAGGTGTTTTGTCGCAGCTGGGTCATGTCTGGGTTGTGTTTGGAAACAATGGTTTGTTTATTTAGCTGATTTTGGTGGATGACAGAATGTTTAGGGAACCAGTTACCTAAAGAGGAATTCTAGAGGTAGTTTGAGTGGAGAACCTCCACGGGATTTATGGTCTTGGAATTTGAGGTTACGGTTAGGGCATTCTACAGGTCCCGACAGAGATCATTGTGGCGCTATCTGCATTTTTCATGCTGCGGGCAGGAGCGGGCAGTCAGACGACTTTGGGATTCAAATATTTTTGTTGTCCCGCAGATTATTTGGAAACTGTCATCTTTCTGCTTTGTATGCGTTAACCTAAGCCTACCTATTGTATTAAAACACATATTATGGGCATTATTCACACACTCAGAAATTGCTTCAGTAGCCTACCTCTCCTCTCCTAGTTGTGTATGAGTCCAAGTGTGCCTAGTATGTGTGGTCTCATTAAAATAGAGTACGCTGCCTACATGGGCAAAGAATCGCGTGGCAGTTAACTTACATATCAAATTAACTTAAATATGATTAGACTGTAGTTTACTAGAAGTGAGGGTGCTAAACCAACGTGATTCGAGGTGCAATCAAAAAATGTAATCATTGAAAAGGAAAAGGCACAACGTGTGCATAGGTTAGGCTTCTATGGTGAGCAAGCATTGTGCCTTTTCATTTTCGATAAGTATTGATTACTCATTTATTTGTCTCTGCCGGCAAATTGTCATCTTAAAAGGTAGGCTATATCCTATATGCAAAAGTAGCAAGTGTAGCTGTCATTATTCTTGCTGCTTCAAGTTCAGTAGCCACACGTTAGAGATCAGGTGCACGTGTGGTCTCAATTAAATAAAGTAGGCTATAGCCTATGCATTTGTGGAGAAGCAGGGGGCAGTTACACTACATGACCAAAAGTATGTGGACACCTGCTCGTCGAACATCTCATTCCAAAATCATGGGCATTAATATGTAGTTGTTCCCCCCCCCCCTTTGTTGCTATAACTGCCTCCACTCTTCTCGGAAGGCTTTCCACTAGATGTTGGAACATTGCTGCGGGGACTTGCTTCCATTCAGCCACAAGCATTCAGGCACTGAATTCAGGCACTGATGTTGGGCGATTAGGCCTGGCTCGCAGTCGATGGGGTTGAGGTCAGGGCTCTGTGCAGGCCAGTCAAGTTCCTCCACACCGATCTCGACAAAACATTTCTGTATGGACCTCGCTTTGTGCACGGGGGCATTGTCATGCTGAAACAGGAAAGGTCCTTCCCCAAACTATTGCCACAAAGTTGGAAGCACAGAATCACCTAGAATGTCATTGTATGCTGTAGCGTTAAGATATCCCTTCACTGGAACTAAGGGGCCTAGCCCAAACCATGAAAAACAGCCCCAGACCATTATTCCTCCTCCACCAAACTTTACAGTTGGCACTATGCATTGGGGCAGGTAGCGTTCTCCTGGCATCCGCCAAACCCGCATTCGTCCATCGGACTGCCAGATGGTGAAGCGTGATTCATCACTCCAGAGAACGCGTTTCCACTGCTCCAGAGTCCAATGGCGGCGAACTTCACACCACTCCAGCCGACTCTTGGCATTGCGCATGGTGATCTTAGGCTTTTGTGCAGCTGCTCGGCCTTGGAAACCCATTTCATGAAGCTCCCGACGAACAGTTCTTGTGCTGACGTTGCTTCCAGAGTCTTTTTGGAACTCGGTAGTGAGTGTTGCAACTGAGGACAGACGATTTTTACGTCTGTCATAGATGTTTCCACTTCACAATGACAGCACTTACAGTTGACCGGGGCAGCTCTAGCAGAGCAGAAATTTGACGAACTGAAAATAAAAATATGCAGTTAATTCGGAAAGTATTCATACCCCTTCCCGTTTTCCACATTTTGTTATGTTACAGACGTATTCTAAAATGGATTAAATAAAAAAAATCCTCATCAATCTACACACAATAACCCATAATGACAAAGCAAAAACCGGTTTCTATAAATTTTTGAAAATGTATAAAAAATTTAAAACGGATACCTTATTTACATAAGTATTCAGACCCTTTACTATGAGACTCGAAATTGAGCTTAAGTGCATCCTGTTTCCATTGATCATCCTTGAGATGCTTCTACAGCTTGATTGGAGTCCACCTGTGGTAAATTCAATTGATTGGACATGATTTGGAAAGGCACACAACTGTCTATATAAGGTCCCACAGTTGACAGTGCATGTCAGAGCAAAAACCAAGCCATGAGGTCGAAGGAATTGTCCGTAGAGCTCCGAGATAGGATTGTGTCGAGGGACAGATCTGGGGAAGAGTACCAAAAAATGTCTGCAGCATTGAAGGTCCCCAAGAACACAGTAGCTTCCATCATTCTTAAATGGAAGAAGTTTGGAACCACCAAGACTCTTCATAGAGCTGGCCACCCAGCCAAACTGAGCAATTGGAGGAGAAGGGCCTTGGTCAGGGAGGAGAACAAGAACCCGATGGTCACTCTGAAAGAGCTCCAGAGTTCCTCTGTGGAGTTGGGAGAACCTTCCAGAAGAACAACCATCTCTGCAGCGCTCCACCAATCAGGCCTTTATGGTAGAGTGGCCAGACGGAACTCCTCTGTAGCTCAGCTGGTAGAGCACGGCGCTTGTAACGCCATGCGCTTCGATCCCCGGGACCACCCATACACAAAAAATTTATGCACGCATGACTGTAAGTCGCTTTGGATAAAAGCGTCTGCTAAATGGCATATTATTATTATTATTTAAAAGGCACATGACAGCCCGCTTGTAGTTTTTTTATAATAAAAAAAAAATGGATCAGCTTAATATTGCAGATATATTGTATCTTCTATCAATGTAATTGTCTGCATCACTTCCAATCCCCCATGTTTTTTTTTATATATATATACTCCCCTTTATTACTTTTCAACCCCACCATCCTTTCCCTACTTGGAGTAAATTAGTGAACAACAATGCCCAGGCCTCTACTTCCGGTCTATACTTACTATCTACACCTTATGGACAGAGTTAATTTTACAATAATTATATTATATATATATATATATATATGAACTTCTTCTACTCTCAACCTCTCCGATCATTTTCATGATGTCCATCCGGTTTGCTTCTATATGCCATATCTTTCTAACTGTGCTCTTTCCCAAAAGCTCCCAACATACAACCTATATACTTATTATGGACACAGTATGCTTACATTATTAGCTATCTTTGTTATTATTTGTTGTTATGTGTTATTAGTCCCATCCTTCAACTCTATTCAATTCCTCCCATCTATCTCTTAACACCATCCATATAGGATTTCTATTTGCCATATATATTTCAACCGTACTGTGATGTTTTACAAAAGTTCTGAACCTTTCTATTCTCATTGCTTCTACAGATTGTGAATTAAAAATAAAAAAATTTGCTAAAAGTATTATTATATTATTGATTGATTGACTATGACTTTTCAGATCACCCAGTAATGCTATCTGCAAGGTTAGCTCCAGGTAAATATTGCAATCCTTTAGCCATTCCTGGACCTGTGTCCAAAAACAAGCTACAAATGGACAGAACCAAAACAAATGATCTAATGATTCTGTCTCTTCACAGCAAAATCTGCAGAGCTGGGAAGATTGTATCCCCCATTTAAATAACATTCTATTGGTAGCAAGAATTTTATATAATAATTTAAATTGAAAGATTCTAATTTTTGAATCCGGTGTCGTTTTGCGTGTCAGTTCATAAACACTATGCCATGGGATCGGTACGTCAAAGATCTCTTCCCAACTATTTTGCAATCTATATGGGACGGCTGTCAATCCTTTGGTCCTTAAGTGAAACTGATATACTTTTTTATTTATCAAACACAGCCCGCTTGTAGTTTGCCAAAAGGCACCTAAAGGACTCTGAGGCCTGAATGCCAAGCGTCACGTCTGGAGGAAACCTGGCACCATCCCTATGGTGAAGCATGGTGGTGGCAGCATCATGCTGTGGGGAAGTTTTTCAGCGGCAGGGACTCGAAAACTAGTCAGGATCGAGGGAAAGATGAACGGAGCAAAGTACAGAGAGAGAGATCCTTGATGAGAACCTGCTCCAGAGCGCTCAGGACCTCAGACTGGGGTGAAGGTTCACCTTCCAACAGGACAATGACCCTAAGCACACAGCCAAGACAACACAGGAGTGGCTTCGGGACAAGTCTCTGAATGTCCTTGAGTGGCCCAGCCAGAGCCCGGACTTGAACCCGATCTAACATCTCTGGAGAGACCTGAAAATAGCTGTGCAGCGATGCTCCCCATCCAACCTGACAGAGCTTGAGAGGATCTGCAGAGAAGAATAGGAAACTCCCCAAATACAGGTGTGCCAAGCTTGTAGCGTCATACCCAAGAAGACTCAAGGCAGTAATCGCTGAGTAAAGTACTGAGTAAAGGGTCTGAATACTTATGTAAATGTTATATTTCAGTTATTATATTATTTATTTTGCTACAATTTCTATAAACCTGTTTTTGCTTTGTCATTATTATGCATGTGTGTACATTTGTTGATATTCTTTGCTAGTTAGGGAGTTATTAGCCCAGTTATAGATAAGTATAGGTCAGCAATGAGGAGTTAGTGCTTCCTACAAGAGCACAAAACGTGTAGGCTACATTTCAAGTTGTCTTTGAAAAGCCAGTCAAGTAAAAAGCTTATGTCTTAATTAAAGGGGCAGTGTTGAATTTTGAGACAGGCTTGAATATGCAAATAAGCCAATAGGCAGAGGGAGATCCTTAACATTCAATTCTCTGGCAACAGCTCTGGTGGACATTCCTGCAGTCAGCATTCGAATTGAACGCTCCCTCAAAACTTGAAACATCTGTGGAATTGTGTTGTGTGACAAAATTGCACATTTTAGAGTTACCTTTTATTGTCCCCCAGCACAAGGTGCGCCTGTGTAATGATCATGCTGTTTATCAGCTTCTTGATATGCCACACCTGTCAGGTGGATGGATTATCTTGGCAAAGGAGAAATGCTCACTGACAGGGATGTAAACAAATTTTTGCACAATTCTTTAGCAATAAGGTTTTTGTGCATATGGAACATTTCTGGGATCTTTTATTTCAGCTCATGAAACATGGGACCAACACTTTACATGTTGCGTTTATATTTTTGTTTGGTGTATGTCTGTCTCAGACAGATATATGATGTCTATGATCCAGTCTCCTGGGATGTCTTAGGGGGTATTGCAGCAGTGGTCTTTGTGGTTTGAGAGGTCTAGTAGAGTAAAAGACGTCTGTGACAGGACGGCTCTCTAAATCCCAGAGACGCCGCCCGCCATCTGTCAGAACCTCTCATTGTCTGAATGATGGACGAGAGTATTTTTCCAAACAGTCTTACTACATATTTTCCTCGGATGCGTCTCTGTTGCAGATTTACAGAAAGTGATTTATGATCCCGCTGCAGATGCTCCATCGATCCTCTCTGGGTTTGATTGATGAGCCTTAATCTGGCCAGGCGGCTCGACTCTGTTAGTGGGGGACAGGATAGGGGATTGGATAGCCCTGGGGAGGAGGGGGATGTTGGGAAATCGAGTTTTAGATTAATGGTTGTTGAAGTTTTGGGGCGTCCCTCCTCAAATGTCTTTGTAGAGACCCCCTTACTGGACCACCAAGGCACTGAAATGTTTTAGCTGTCTTGCCAAAGAGTTTCACTGAAGGAATGTGTTTCTTTGTTGTTGGTTTTTGGAAATTCCTACGGTTACTGGTTCAGTAGGTGATATAGATTCTGAAAATATTGTCTGGAGGTTGAAATCCTGTTGTTGAAAATGTTGGTAAAGTCCCTGAAAGCTTCGGAAATGGAATTGATTTACCTGACTATTCAGAATGAGATGTCCCCCTTTTTATACTGAATGATAGTTGAAATCCCTCTTAGAAGTTATTTTAAGGGGTGACCTTGAGGGAAGAGGATGTGACAGACTTTCTCATTTCAGCTAATTAAGAAAAGTAGAGTACTGGTTGGTAAAAAATATATATATTTGGCACTCTCCCTCATGTGCTCCAAGCCAAGATTATCTCTCAGAGATTTTAATTATAAAAGGTTGTCGGAGAGGTATAGTCATAATTGTTTCGCTTGAATTACGACCTTTTGAGAAATGTGTTGCTGGCACAGAATCTCTGAGACTCTCTAGCTCTGTCTTTGTTACTCTTTCTCTCCCAGCTAGTACATAATGTTCTGAGAACCATGTGTTTCTTAGAGCTTTGTGAGAGCTTGCTTGTCCTATGGTTATTTTGCATACAACCCTCCCACAAAGTTCTGGGAAATGGTGCAGGATACCCAGCTAGCACATAACGTTCTGAGAACCATATGTTTCTTAGGTGAGTATTTATGTGCTTCAGTGAAGGTTTCCTACAGGTTTCCTCATGGTTCTATTTAAAGTAATGTTCTCAGAACGTTCAGAGAACGTTAAGAAACAACGTTCTTCTGTGGGAATTTCAGTACTTAAGCATAACGTTTTCTACAGGTTTCCTCATGATTCTATTTAAGTCATGTTCTCACAATTTCAATGTGGCCTATCTGTGCTTGGAGTTCAAAACATTTAACCCAAACTAAGCTAGCAGTGTTATAAAAAGTCTTATTGAAACATGTTCTCAGAACGTTATTTAATTACCTTCCAATAACCTATAATTTCCGTTCTCAGAATGTTAATAAAATCTCCCAGGAAAATGTTCAGGGAACCATAGTAAAATGTTCTCAGAACCTCCCTTCAATCTAAATATTTACATTCCCAAAACATGCAACATTTTCACTTCCGTTCTTAGAACGTTTAAAAAACGTTCAGTTTTACCGGTCAGGAAACGTATAGCTTTGTTCCCAGAACCAATGCGAAACCAAAAACATACGTTTCCACAACTTCCAAGGAATCAAATGTGTTAGCTGGGCTGTTACTATCTTTCTCTCTGTCATTGACCTCTCACTGTCTGTTTTCTCTCTCTGATTTCAGGACTATTTTATCCAATGTTTCCCATTCAAATGCATATGATATGACAACGCTACACCAGTAACACCGAGCCTAATAGCTGCTATTTATTTTATCAGTATTTTCCAATGTTGTGATAGTCAGCCTCTCTGTCTGTGGTTTTCTCCTGTTCCCTAGCTATGTCTCTCCTCCCACATGGACTGGGCCATAGTGGTTTCTGCCGAGGTTAGTGCCTAGGATACATTCCTCCAGTTTATTTTAAACTTTTGGCATGGTCCACGTTAGTGGAACTTTGGCAGTGAGGGACTCTTGAAGTATCAGGGCTGCTCCTGCTGGGCTGTGGGGGTTTCTAGGGGGGAAAGTTCTGTCTGATGATCCTAGTCATGACCTTGTCAACCCACACACTATGGATTCTGTGGATGTTGCTCAGAGGTTGTTTGGGTGTTTATACTGGGTTGTTGATGTAGGTTGTGTAGACGTTGTTGTTCTTGTGGACATTCCCTCTTCCTCAGGATGACGGCCACCAGGCTGTACGCTCTCACCTGATAGGTGGATGGAGCTCCATGTCGTTCCCTGGCAACGATGACCCTCAGGAGACCACTGGAGTCATGTCCCAGAGCTGTTGACACACACACAATTACTCCTCTAACTCTAGGAATTGTGTGTTCGCCCTCAGACTTGGCGGAGCTTCCCCTGGTGAAGTTTGACTTCTCCTGTAACAAGGTGTCCACCATCCCAGTGTGCTACAGGAAAATGTCCCAGCTCCAGTCACTACAGCTGGAGAACAACCCCCTACAGAGTCCCCCTGCACAGGTCAGTCTGGGTTAGGGATGGGCACGGATAATCAAATATCCGAACAGATGTTAGTATTCCATTACTTGCAAGTAGGCCTATTCATACAAATTAAAACAAATATATAGGCCTATTTTAACAATGAAAAGGCTTTGTCTGAGCACACAATGTTCGCAAAAAACAGTGTACCGTATTTTCCGCACTATAAGGCGCACCGGAGTATAAGCCGCAGCAGCTAAATTGAATGATATTGAATGATGTGGACATATATAAGCCGCACTGGACTATAAACCGCAGGTGTTTTAATGTTTAATTACCATATGTAAGGGTTCGTGCACAGAGGGGATTGTCGGGAAAGAGACAAACTGTCTCGCTCTCGTAATGTCTGTCTGTCTTGCTCTCGTTCTGTCTCTCGTTCTGTCTCTCGTACCACTCTCGGTTCCACTTTTACTTTTGCGCGCTACCTGTCTCACTCTTTTCCGGCCTCCAGCTTTTCCTGCTGGAGCCCGCCGCTTAAAGGTGGGGGGCGCGGACCGGTCATAGAGCCCATAGAGTTAAAGTTGGTGGACTGTAACCTGTAAAATCCATAGATTTAGGAGGTCTTCTAGTGGCCGTTAGCTGTAAAAATCCATAGATTAGCCGCACCGTTATATAAGCCGCAGGGTCGAAAAATGGGAAAAAAGGCGCGGCTTATAGTCCGAAAATTACGGTATTTCAACTATCCGGATATCTGAAAAAATTATGATATTATTTGAATAGTGAAAATATTTCAAATGCCCGTCCCTAGTCTGGATCTGCATGGGGCTACGGCTTTCTCCACAGCTTGGCATGACATACGTTGCAATGGAATATAGCATTCATCATAGGGCATTCTAGTTGACCATGTCACTGTGCATATTTTGTTTTAGCTTTCCATATAGTGTAACTATTTGTGTACCCACTTTTGTATCATCATCTAGTTGCTCTAATTCACCCATTGATGATCTGTTTTCTAGATCTGCATAAAGGGAAAAGTTCACGTATTTAAGTACCTGAGCATCGAGGCGTGTCGGAGTGACAAGATGCCTGACTCTCTCTACCTGCCTGTCATGGAGCGCCTCAGCCTATCACAACCCACCACTGGCAGGTGAGTTGCTATGGTAATCCTAACGGAGGCAACTGTTAGTGCTGGGCTGGTACAAAACCCTGCATACACTTTGGCTCTCCAGGACCAGTATTGGCAACCACTGATTTATTTACCACTGAGTGTTGCCAGATTCTTCATTTATACCTGTTGTTTTAGTGCTGCGGCTGAGCCTTCCTCTCAATGTGTATGAGAGTGAAGTGTTTTACAGGGAGGGAGGATGTTATGTTATGTAATGTGCCCTGTAATGTCCGCCCCCACCCCAATAACCCTCCCCACTGCAACGCGTGGGCAGGAAAAATGTTCCTTTTGTCCTGGAGAGCTCAGAGACTCACACTCAATTCCCACTCTCATACATACTCACACACACTCCTGGCAGTGGAGGAAAAGAGCAGCAGAGCTATTTATAATTCAGCCATAGAGTCACAGTAGAAGGATCCAACACCCTGGCCCAATGTTTCAGTAGAACTGTATTCACATGGATTCTCATAAGGTTGATGTATTGAATGATAATAATGATTAAGTAGGTGTGAGGCCAGAATTGGATTTAGTGCGTGAATGTGAATGAAGATGAGCACAGAATGCCATATGCTTCAGTGATCAGTGAACATGCTCCCTTGGGATGCAAATTTAGGTGGCCTAGAAACGACAAGGTGTGTGTGTGTGTGTGTGTGTGTGTGTGTGTGTGTGTGTGTGTGTGAGAGAGCGCGCGTGTGTGTGAGAAGTGTATCTTGGAGCACATCACGGTTCAGTTGTCTGGAGACTCTGTTCAGTGGATAACTTCGCTTAAAGCTAGACAGAGCGAGAGAAAGAGAGAGCGTGACAGAGCCCTGCATCTCCTCTGTGATCGGAGCGATTAGACTCTGCTCTCTGTCACTTTCTCTCCTCTCTCCTCCGTGTGCGTTTTTACCTCCTGACCCTGGCCGTCCCATAATCCTCCTCTCTCACCTCTCACCCCTCTCCTCTCAGCACGGAGGACATTGACCAGAATAAGAAACAGGACACTGACTCAGGAGTTGGCAGCGACAACGGGGACAAGAGACTGTCTGCCACTGAGGTAGAATGAGTGTGTGTGTGTGTGTTTGTTTATGTGTGTTTGTTGTGTGCGCACGCACGCATGCACTATTTGTGTGTCCGACATTATGCATTGATAGTATGTGTGTCCGACATTATGCATTGATTACACAGTATGTGTGTCCGACATTATGCATTGATTACACAGTATGTGTGTCCGACATTATGCATTGATTACACAGTATGTGTGTCCGACATTATGCATTGATTACACAGTATGTGTGTCCGACATTATGCATTGATTACACAGTATGTGTGTCCGACATTATAATAATAATAATAATAATATGCCATTTAGCAGATGCTTTTATCCAAAGCGACTTACAGTCATGTGTGCATACATTTTTACGTATGGGTGGTCCCGGGGATCGAACCCACTACCCTGGCGTTACAAGCGCCATGCTCTACCAATTGAGCTACAGAGGACCACATTATGCATTGATTACACAGTATCTGTGTCCGACATTATGCATTGCCATTGAACGTTCCCTTCATTTTCTGCACCATGACTTCAGAATGTTTAGAAATGTATATGTAAAGTTATGCAAGAAAGAGCACATCTACCTGGTGACGTTGAACAGTCAGCATCTCTTCAGAGCTGTTCCAGGCTGTATTGTGCCGGCTGAGCACACAGCCACCGCCTGAGGGTAGCAGGCTATATTTCTGTTTTCTTTTTTGGGTGGGTTTGTTTGTTCTTTCTTACTTTTATACCGGTATACACTCATCCATGACCTCAGTGTATTTTGTGATGATCAGATAAAAGTAGTGAAGAAGATATTGTCAGGTATAATACAACAGTTCTCTGGATGCATTTGACAGAAAATATCTGGTTGTTTTTTGGTAGCTGAAACATTTGGCTGATTCTGACTGAAATACTGTTGAGTTGTAGCAGCTGAAATGCTTAGATTTTTGTTGGTAACAGAAATGTTTGCTAGTGTTTTTGGTAACTGAACTGTGTGGTTGTTTCAGCCCTCAGACGAGGACAGCTTGAGTCTCAATGTCCCCATGTCCCACATCACAGAGGAGGAGGGGCTAAGCAAAGACGACTCCAGCGAACACATCAGTGCTCTCACAGGTAGCATACAGACAGAATGCCACACACCTCTGACACTCTCAGTAAGGATATCTCCACCCCACCCCACCCACCGACCCTGTCAATGAGTAGCCACCCATCCCCGATACCAGCCCTCCTGAATGGGAGAAGAGAAAAGCCAGCAGGGCTGTGTGTGACATCCTCAGGTTAGGGTAACACAGCCCAGATAGACACTGCAGAGAGGCCTCTGGTTAATGTTACTCCCCTATCTGCCACCAGAGGAAACAGAATAGAAACGTTGTCACTTTCTGTTGCTCTAAAGAGAGGACGTGGGATAAAAGAGATGTTTCCGGAGCCTTCATGGTGTCTTTATGTGGCTCAGTGGGAGTTTTTCCTGATTGTTGTTTTTGAGAAGGACGGAGGGAGCTCTGGGGTAGTGTTGACCCTGGCTAAACTATGTGTGTTTGTGTGAGTGAGAGAGGTGGGGACAGGAAGTAAAGATATACACCAGGAAGGCTATGTCGGCACACACAGGGAGTAGTCTGGGAGGGGGTCACTGATAGGCTGGCGGTCCTCAGACTGGGTGGGAATGGTGTTGAAAGTGAAGGTGGTGTGAGAGTGTGTAACAGTACTAATGTAGTGTATGTGTTAAATGGCAGGCAGGCTTGATCAGACGAGATGGGGGCCGTCACCTTTTATTCACTAAGCCCTCTAATTGATTGGAAGAATGCGGCCTGGTACAACATGGTGGACTCATCCATACTGTGGAATAGTGTAGCAGAGAGGAGAATAGAGCTGCCTCAGAGTATCTGGGCTGCTATATTAGCAGAGCTCTGATGGATTCTCTGTAGACCACACACACAGACAGACAGACAGACAGACAGACAGACAGACTGAGATTGCTTCACTGCCAAATACATATGGAGGGGAGTGTAATGTTTCACTATCCACCCAAATCTCATAAACGAGCAATCAAACACAATATTTTTCTATGTATATAAGGGACAGTGTCTCCATACAGTACAGCCTTTGAACTGTGACACTCTTTACATTGATCTCTGACCTCTATCTCTGCCCCATGTAGCGGACCCCCACAGGGACGGGGTGCAACTGATAGAGGAGAGCCCCACTGAGGCCCTGAAGGAACAGTTTGGCTACAGAGACTCTTCTGCTCTCAGCAACTGCTTTGTCAGTTACATCAAGGCAAGGCCATTCTCTCTCTCTCTCACTCACTCACTCACTCACTCACTCACTCACTCACTCACTCACTCACTCACTCACTGAAAGACTTGGTTTAAAGTTACTTAGGTGAGCAACTTGCTGAATTCACACATTTTGACATTTGGGGTGAACTACCCCTTTAATAGGTGATTTTGGGTCAACTTTTTCTACCTGGGTCTCAGCCTCATCCATTATGAGCTAGATGTCTAGACTGACTCTGGAGCTGTTAATAAGGATCATAATGTGCATATATGCACCCCGTTATACACAACAGTATGACTTCCTTTAAGGTTGTCTGTATTGTCAAAGATTCATGGGGAAATGGCCTTGCTGTAAATAATGAAAGGATTGGTGTTTTTAACAAAAGGAAAAGTGTAGCTGATGTGTTCAGACTTCCAGTCTCATGTATATTGCATTCGTTCTCTATGACCCAATACTGTTTATCCAATCACACTATTATCCATCAACTCTTGATAAAGACTTTTGGATGACCAGTAGGCTTGATTAATGGCCCTTAATGATACTGTAACGTTAAAGCATATGGATGGAATATGAATCTTAAGTAATCATTTGGATTGCAATTTAGATCATGATATATTGGCATCTCAATAGGACAGTATGGGTGATATCTCAATAGGACAGTATGGATGATATCTCAGTCATCTCAATAGGACAGTATGGATGATATCTCAGTCATCTCAATAGGACAGTATGGATGATATCTCAGTCATCTCAATAGGACAGTAAATCAAATAAAAAGAATTGTCACATACATGTGTTTAGCAGATGTTATTGCGGGTGTAGCGAAATGCTTGTGCTTCTAGCTCCGACAGTGCAGTAATATCTAACAAGTAATATCTAACAATTTCACAACATATACACATAAATCTAAGTAAGAATATATACATATATGGACGAGCAATGACAGAGCGGCATGGACTAAGATACAGTAGAATATTATAGAATACAGTATATGCATAGGAGATGAGTAATGCAAGATATGTAAACATTATTAAAGTGACTAATGTTCCATTTCTTAAAGTGGCCAGTGATTTCAATAGGCAGTAGCAGCCTCTAATGTGCTAGTGATGGCTATTTAACAGTCTGAAATAGAAGCTGTTTTTCATTCTCTCGGTCCCAGCTTTGATGCACCTGTACTGACCTCGCCTTCTGGATGATAGCGGGGTGAACAGGCAGTGGCTCGGGTGGTTGATGTCCTTTGATCTTTTTGGCCTTCCTGTGACATCGGTGCTGTAGGTGTCCTGGAGGGCGGGTAGTTTGCCCTCTGTAATGCGTTCGGCAGACCACAACACCCACTGGAGAGCCCTGCGGTTGCGGGCGGTGCAGTTGCCGTACCAGGCGATGATACAGCCCGACAGGATGCTCTCAATTGTGCATCTGTAAAATGTTGAGGGTTTTAGGTGCCAAGCCAAATTTCTTCAGCCTCCTGATGTTGAAGAGGCTCTGTTGCGCCTTCTTCACCACACTGTCTGCGTGGGTGGACCATTTTAGTTTGTCAGTGATGTGTACGCCAAGGAACTTGAAGCTTTCCACCTTCTCCACTGCGGTCCCGTCGATGTGGATAGGGGGGTGCACCCTCTGCTGTTTCCTGAAGTCCACGATAATCTCCTTTGTTTTGTTGACGTTGAGTGAGAGGTTATTTTCCTGGCACCACACTCCCAGAGCCCTCACCTCCTCCCTGTAGGCTGTCTCGTCATTGTTGGTAATCAAGCCTACTACTGTTGTGTCGTCTGCAAACTTGATGATTGAGTTGGAGGCGTGCTTGGCCACGCAGTCATAGGTGAACAGGGAGTACAGTATGGATGATATCTCAGTCATCTCAATAGGCCAGTATGGATGATATCTTCAGATTAGGGGCAGGAATTACTCTTGATAACTATTCCCCCCCCCCCCCTCCCCTGCTGTCCCATGGGCGTGTGACAGTGTGATGTAAACATTGTACATAGCCATAATGACATTTTAAATGTGTCTGTTCCTCTGAAACGTGTGAGTGTAATGTTAACTGTTTATTTTTGGTTTATTTCACTCTTGTTTATGATCTAGTTCACTTGCTTTGGCAATGTAAACATATTTCCCATGCCAATAAAGCCCATTGAATTGAATTGACAGGGTGGTCTCATCTTCAACCCCATGTGGATTGTGTCAGCAGATCTTTGAGGGAGGGAGGGAGGGAGGGAGAGGGAAGGGGTGGCACACTGGCCTTCTCTCTCACTCACTAGGAAAAAGTCTAGTGATGGCAATGTTGAACCGCAACCAATCGCTGGCTGATTCTCTGGATCATGTGACCTGACTGCAGCTGGTGCTGATGTCGTGTGTGTGTAACTCGGGGTGCGTGTGCGTGTGTGTGTTCTTGCTCGTGCAGGGACGAACGGCAGACTACGACGAGCCCCTCAGGATAGAAGAAGACACACACTGGGCCTCAGAACAGACGTGAGTATCCCTCCATCCATCCGTCTTTCATCTCTTCATCCATCCAGTTCTCTCCTTTTCTCCTCCCTCTCTTTTCACTGTAGTGGGTGTGTCTCGGTGTGTCTGTTTCTGTTCCCTCTTTCTTTCTCTCTCTCTCTCTCTCTCTCTCTCTCTCTCTCTCTCTCTCTTTCTCTCTCTTGCTCTCTCTCTTCACTCTTTCTCTAGCTCTTTTTCTTTCTTTCTCTCTCACTCTCTTTCTCTGTGCTATAAGGTGCTGTTTTTCTCTTTATGCTGTATGTGTCCATAGGCAGTAGTACTCTTTGCCCATCTGTATTCAAGTTGATTGATGTACACTGTCAGCACTTTACTGTAGGCTAGAGTAGAAACGTCTTTGGTGTTTTTTAAGAAGCTGTGCACCTCCCAAGTTGTTCTTGGCTCTTCTATACTGTGGTTGCTGTTTTCATAGATGAAAGATAGACCCACGCTGTCAAATGTGGCCCAAAAAGAGGCTTGAAATATGCTCTTTATTTAAACAGACCATCACCATACTATTTTCTTGCCACAGCAAAGCTATGTGTGTTCTGCTACAAACCACATTATGTATTTTGGTTGTGCCTTTGATATCTATACCAGGGCAACATTAGGTTAGCATTTAGATTATTCTTTTCATTAATGTTGTCGTATTCAAAAGCATTTTTTTATTGGTGAAACGTGGTTCTGAATCGTAAACAAGACTACTCACTTCCTGTTTCCTGGCCCATAGGTCAAAGGTTACGGAAGGAACACACATTGCCATGATCAACCAGCTGAAGGAGGCTGTGGAGCTACTACAAGACCCTAACAGGTAGGCACCATTATGATACTGTCACAATGCTGGTTAATACTGTTTATTGCTGCTTATTATACTATTACATCAATCTCACTTCTACTATGATGTTGGCTTTATTTAATACCCATTGTTACCAGCATGTTCAGGATCATTTTCAAGGTGAAATTGGTCATTGAATTTAGGGCAGTGGCGGTCATGACATTTTGTCAGCCGGTAATTGTCATGCAAATGACTGCCGGTCTCACGGTAATTGACCATAATTAACATAAACATGTTTATTATCTCCAGGCTTACATGCATACAAGCTGCTGACGCACGCCTTTGGAACATGTACATTTTAAAAAGTTGAATAAATCAATTTAATATACAGTAGCCTACACCATCACAATACAACTATTATTTATTTACTTGTGATAGGCTTATAAACCTGGCAATGTCTTAGAAATCAAAACATATGGGCTGCATGATGCGGCTCTATATTGATGATTTGGAAAAAGTTGCAAAAAAAGGCATGCGCTCTGATCCTTGCGCTTCCAGAGAGAGACAATTGCATTGCTGCTCATCTTGTGTGGCAAGCAAGTTAGGGAATACCTAGTCAATGGAAGATGGAATTAAAATGGCAGAATTAAAAGTGAAATTAGAAAGACCAAAAGCCAACAGGTAAACTGCTATTTAGGATATAATCTGAATGGAGTTGTTGTTATGTGTAGGCTAACTGTAGGATGTTTAGATGCGCAGTAACGTTATGGCTAGCCTCAATTAGTCTAGGTAGCTGCTTTCTCTCGGTTTGATGCAGTCAAGACAGGTACTATGTAATCGGATGGGATGATAAATAACTAGCAAGAAATTAGTCTAGTGGGAGTTAACAGTGGTTGCGGTCTCTACCTCCGTGCCTGCTCCGCGCCTCCCATGTCTTACACACACATTCACACACACACTGCACGGTCTCCGCTCCCTATAGCCTACAGCTGCTCGCTCTGTGCCTCTCTCTCTCTCTCCCTTTAATCCATGGCTCCGGTTTAATAAAGTAGCAAAACAATTGGCTTTTCTGCTGCTTCCCTCACTCTGATCGGACCGGGTCCATAAGGGGACGGGTCTGGTTGTCCTTTCGGAATGGGTTTTTTAAATGTATTTATGCATATTGGGTCCTGGGCTTTCCTGTGTCCATTTCAGAACAGGACCTCTAACCCCCATCTAGGGCGACCGAGAGTCATCCTGTTCTTTCGACCAATCAATTGGTTGAAATGTTTAAACATATTTTTCCATATATAGACAGACAAAAATCAACTACATATATAAATAATTAAAACACACAAATGACTGAAGAAAAGCCCAATGGTCACACTGTATTAAAAATAAATGACAGCGAGTGCCTGTGTGACTGGCGCACGGTGTCCCTACTGCAGCAAAAAGGGATCACAGCACAGCAAGTGTTTATTGCTCTGTCCGTGCTGAAGCTGCAACATCAATCAAATGTATTTATAAAGCCCTTTTTACATCAGCAGGCGTCACAAGTGCTATACAGAAACCCAGCCTAAAACCCCAAACAGCAAGCAATGCAGATGTAGACGCACGGTGGCTAAGAAAAACTCCCTAGAAAGGCAGGAACCTAGGAAGAAACCTAGAGAGGAACCAGGCTCTGAGGGGTGGCCAGTCCTCTTCTGGCTGTGCCGGGTGGAGATTATAAGAGTACATGGCCATTAAGGCCAGATTGTTCTTCAAGATGTTCAAATGTTCATAGATGACCAGCAGGGTCAAATAATAATCACAGTGGTTGTAGAGGGTGCAACAGGTCAGTACCTCAGGAGAATTACACCAGATATAACAGACTGACCCTAGGCCCCCGGCACATAGACTATTGCAGCGTAGATACTGGAGGCTGAGACGATAACCCCGGACAGGACCTACCAAGCAGGCTATAACCCCACCCACTTTGCCAAAGCACAGCCCCCACACCACTAGAGGGATATCAACAGACCACCAGCTTACTACCCTGAGACAAGGCTGAGTATAGCCCGCAAAGATCTCCTCCACCACACAAGCCCAAGGGGGCACAAAACCAGACAGGAAGATCACGTCAGTGACTCAACCCACTCAAGTGACGCACCCCTCCTAGGTACGGCATGGAAGAGCACTAGTAAACCAGTGACTCAGCCCCTGTAATAGGGTCAGAGGCAGAGAATCCCAGTGGAGAGAGGGGAGGCGGCTAGGCAGAGACAGCAAGGGCGGTTCATCGCTCCAGTGCCTTGCCGTTCACCTGCGCACACCTGGGCCAGACTACACTCCATCATAGGACCTACTGAAGAGAGGAGTCTTCAGTAAAGACTCAAAGGTCGAGACAGAGTCTGCGTCTCTCACATGGATAGGCAGACCATTCCATAAAAATGGAGCTCTATAGGAGAAAGCCCTGCCTCCAGCTGTTTGCTTAGAAATTCTATGGACAATAAGGAGGCCTGTGTCTTGTGACCGTAGCGTACGTGTAGGTATGTACGGCAGGACCAAATTGGAGAGATGGGTAGGAGCAAGTCCATGTAATGCTTTGTAGGTTAGCAGTAAAACCTTGAAATCAGCCTTGCCTTAACAGGAAGCCAGTGTAGCCATTTAGTTTCTTACTTGTTTCTGACTGAAAAGTTCTGTTACCAAAATCCCTAATTTGTTTATGAAATGCAATCCCTATTCCCTCAACCCTTGCTCTCTTTATGTGAAACATTTAAGCATTGCATGCATGTGACCAATATGGCCTGACCTGTAGCCTATCATACTCACATCAATAAATTGGTTATAACAAACTCCAAACACAGTAATGTCGACAGCAAAATGGATGAGGAGGACGTGAAAAATAAACTTGAAACGGGCGAATGTTTACTGGTTGCTCAGGAGGGAAAGTCAGATCTGTGGAAGTCATTTGACTTAGTTGTGGAAACTACTGGAGATCAAGAAAAAAGAGGGTATAGGAGCAAGCGTTGCGTGAGTATTATGTGTGCCAAACAGTTGCTGTTTGGGACACATACTTTTTTTCTGACCATTTGGAATAGTGTAAACAACACTTAATAAATAAGTGTACCAGAGTCTGTTCTAACGAAAAATAAATAAATCTATAAAGCCTTTATTACAGCAGACTGAAAACAGTTGCATTCATTCTTGAATTGCAGTTTATTTATTGTTTAGGCTAATTATTCAAAGCTCCTTTTATTTAATGCTTGATTGCATTTCAAAGCATGAATGTCTCGTATGCTGTGTGATTACAGTAGCCTATATATTGAAATATAGGCCTAAGTAAGTTACGGTATTAAGACTAAACAGGATGTGCTTTTAGGCCTACAGCTCGATGGTGGTTATACAAGGCTACTATACAAAGCCTACTAATGATAACGACATTACTTATTATTATAATGATCATAATAATAATTGTAACAATAACAATAAGAAGGAGATCAAGAAAAATGAGGGTATAGGAGCGAGAGCTGCGTGCATGTTATGTGTGACAAGCTGGTGCTGTCAGATTACAATATTATTTTTCTGCCTGTTTGGAACAGTGTAAACAACACTAAATAAATTAATGTAAAAAAAATAATGTAAAGCCTATATTACAGCATAGCAAAGATTAAAAATGACAGAATCTGTGAAATTTCTTTTTCCGACATTTTGCCTTTGCATGAGGCTTGGCTCACTCAAACAGGCAACATAAGCAAGATCTGTCTTATTTCTGTAGATATATATGGATGATTTATAAAGCCAGGCACATTTAACAGTTAGATTGGGGTTTCCTCTCTCCTCAATTCTCTTAGAAAATTAGGTTAAGGCCAGGGCTGTTTCCTCATCTCTGCTGCTGGTGCCTCCCCCGCATTGTTCTCAATCCCAATATGCTGGTTAACTTTGCAATTATGCACATAGCAACATAGGGAAAAGCGCCAATTCTACGGCGCACCAAATATTCTTTTTCAGAACCGCGGACAGCGACCGAATCCAACGCGGCAGAAAGCGCATTTGTTATAAAATAATATTATACTGAACAAAAATATAAACGCAACAATTTCAAAGATTTTACTGAGTTACAGTTCATATAAGGAAATTAGTCAATTGAAATAAATTAATTAGGCCCTAATCTATGGATTTCACATGACTGGGCAGCGGTGCAGCCATGGGTGGGCACTTGGCAGCCAGGCCCACCCACTGTGGAGTCAGGCCCAGGCAATCAGAAGGATTTTTTTCCTCACAAAAGGGCTTTATTACAGACAGAAATACTCCACAGACATCTGTGGCATTGTGTTGTGTGAAAAAACAAATTTGCACATTTTTAAAGTGGCCTTTTTTGTCCCCAGCACAAGGTGCACCAGTGTAATGATTTTACATTTTACATTTTAGTCATTTAGCAGACGCTCTTATCCAGAGCGACTTACAGTTAGTGAGTGCATACATTTTCATGATCATGCTGTTTAATCAGCTTCTTGATATGCCACACCAGTCAGGTGGATGGATTATCTTGGCAAAGGAGAAATGCTCACTAACAGGAATGTAAACAAATTTGTGCACAGAATTTGAGAGAATTTGGTTTTTGTGCATATTGAACATTTCAGGGATTTTTTTTATTTCAGCTCATGAAACATGGGACCACCACTTTACATGTTGCGTTTATATTTTTGTTCAGTGTAGATTTATTAGTGTTGCACCATTTATTTTTACATAATATAACCATATCCAATTTCAGTATCACATGTCTTAGTGATGGACTGTGCCATCCCCGTAGCCTCAGCAATGGATTACTCTACTGAGACAGGCGCGAATCAGACAGGTGTCTTGTGCACCATGAAAAATATTAAAATAAATTGTTACTACTCGACTAAAGAAATCTCGGTCGACCAACAGCCTATCGACCAAATAATCGACTAGTCGACAAAATGGGGTAAGCCCTACTCCATCACCATTTGTTCTCATCATTCAGATTATTCATATTAAATCATGAAGTGTTTAGAGAGTGATTAGAGAGACAATAGAGCGTGGAGTACCAGGCCATTAGCAAGTTTGGTAGGCTACCCATCAGCTCCATTCATTTGTGCAGTTTTGGATGGGACTACCGTGACCAACTGTCACAGGGAGTTTGACTGTGGGGATGACTCGTGACTGCCTCTGGCGGTAATAAAGTCACCGTGACAGCCCTAGACATAATTATCATAATCATTGTTGTCTTCTATATGAACTACCGTTGGAACGTTGCATTGAAAACTTTGGATTACCGTTATCCCTACTGAGTCAGAGGTTACATTTCTGACAAAAACGCGTACATCCCCCAACCTAACAGATGGCTCATTATCATATGCAGATAGAGGCAGTCAAAATCTCCCACACACAGCCCAACGCTAACTCTGTAGAATATATTATCCATCATGTGTCATCTAATCATATTTCAGGTCAATGTTGTGAGGAGTTGTTGGTGAAATGTCCCACTTGGCCATATCAGAATGTTGTAAATGTAGCTACCATTATGTCTTTATTATTTTTTCGGAGCCCAGTCATTGGCACACACACACTGTACTGCATGCTGCTCCCTCCTGCTCTGCAACATGTATATGGTAGCAGACATGGTACATTTGGCTGTCTTCCTTGGTTCTGTGAACATATAGTTCAGTACAGGGACTGGAATTACTCTGGGGCTGGCTCAGTGGAGGTGAAAGAGACTCATTGGGCATTGAGCTGTAAATGTTGTGGGGATCTGTGTAGTTGCTTGACGCTACTCTCGCTCTCTCTCTCTCTCTCGCTCTCTCGCTCTCGCGCTCTCGCGCTCTCTCTCTGCTCTCAGAGTGAATATGGAAACAGAGGACCTGTCTGGAATTCAGCTCTACCCTGTTGAGATGGTCATGGTGGAGGACTCTATCAAGTAAGACTGTGTGTGTGTGTGTGTGTGTGTGTGTGTGTGTGTGTGTGTGTGTGTGTGTGTGTGTGTGTGTGTGTGTGTGTGTGCGCGAGTTTGTGCATCTTACACTCTCGTCTCTCTCACTACAGTGGCCAAGACAGTGACGGCGGTGACGGACAAACCACACCCAAGGTGAGACCTCTTTCCTATGAGAATCACATATGTGGTTTTACTGCATAATGTACACACCTACGAGCACCCTTTGAGCACCTATATTGTATGAACTCTGACTATGACCGTTGTGTGAATATGTGTATCATCTGTATGTGCAGTGAAAGTGTGTGTGTGACGGTGTCAAACTGTAAAATATATCAGTAGCATCTGTGTTAGAGACTAAGACCCCTCTCCTGGGTTAGTGTGTGTTTAGTTTCCCTTCCTGAGCAAGCAGCCCTGCCCTTTTTCCTCCGCTGATGTAATTTCCTGTCTTCTATAATATAGCTCTGGTAGTTGAATATTGTTAAGATGACTTGTTTGTAGTATAATGTATTTGAGCTGTGGTGAATGTTTGTTTTTCGAGCTGTATTAGATTGTAAGCTTGTCTCCTTTGTAGAGAATAAGGATTTCTGGAAGTAAAGCTTGAATTGCTGTGGTAGATGTACACTACATTACCAAAAGTACGTGGACACCAGCTCGTCGGAATATCTCATTCCAAAGTCGGACACTGATGTTGGGCGATTAGGCCTGGCTCGCAGTCGGCATTCCAATTCATCCCAAAGGTGTTCGATGGGGTTGAGGTCAGGGCTCTGTGCAGGCCAGTCAAGTTCTTCCACACTGATCTCAACAAACCATTTCTGTATGGACCTCGCTTTGTGCACGGGGGGCATCGTCATGCTGAAACAGGAAAGGGCCTTCCCCAAACTGTTGCCACAAAGTTGGAAGCACAAAATCGTCTAGAATGTAATTGTAAGCTGCAGCGTTAAGATTTCCCTTAACTGGAACTAAGGGGCCTAGCCCAAACCATGAAAAACAGCCCCAGACCATTATTCCTCCTCCACCAAACTTTACAGTTGGCACTATGCATTGGGGCAGGTAGCGTTCTCCTGGCATCCGTCAAACCCAAATTTGTCCGTCTGACTACCAGATGGTGAAACGTGATTCATCACTCCAGAGAACGCGTTTCCACTGCTCCAGAGTCCAATGACGGCAAGCTTTACACCATTCCAGCCGACGATTGGCATTGTGCATGGTAATCTTAGGCTTGTTTATGGCCGCTCGGCCATGGAAACCCATTTCATGAAGCTCCAGACGAACAGTTCTTGTGCTGACGTTGCTTCCAGAGGCAGTTTGGAACTCGGTAGTCAGTGTTGCAACCGAGGACAGACGATTTATACGCGCTTCAGCGCTCAGCGGTCCCGTTCTGTGAGCTTGTGTGGCCTACCACTTCGCGGCTGAGCCGTTGTTGCACCTAGATGTTTCCACTTCACAATAACAGCTGACCGGGGCAGCTCTAGCAGGGCAGAAATTTGACGAACTGACTTGTTGGAAAGGTGGCCTCCTATGACGGTGCCACATTTAAACTCACTGAGCTCTTCAGCACGGGTCATTCTACCGCCAATGTTTTTCTATGGAGATTGCATGGCTGTGTGCTTGATTTTATACACCTGTCAGCAACAGGTGTGGCTGAAATGGCTGAATCCACTAATTTGAAGGGGTGTCCACATACTTTTGTGTGTGTGTGTATATATAGTGTACTAAGTAGATGTACAAATAAGTTCCACCGGTTGGTATGTTCTATCTAGTGGGACATTCCCGATGGAGGCTTTGAGTTCCAGAAGAAACGAGAGTTGATTCTAGAGAGGGCCAGGCTGGAGGCCCAGCTTGCATGCCAACAATATGAGAGACATATGTCCAACCAGGTAAACTTAGTAACAAGCCATGGATGGCCACGCCCCTCAGGCTTACCTGCCAATCCCTGCCTCTGACTTCCCTCATCTAGTGTCTGTGTGTTGTGTATTGTGTGTGGTGGGGTGTGTGTGTGTGTGTGTGTGTGTGTGTGTGTGTGGTCACTTCATGCTCTTAACCACTGGTCCCAAGTCAGTTTTTGTGTGAAGTGTTACATAGTTCAGACAAGGGCTACGGTAGAGGTAGCTGATCCTAGAAATGTGGTTAAGGGCATTAGAGGGCAAATCCTAACTCAAGATCTGTGCGTAACTTGAGTTTTCTCAAAAACCTGCCATTGACTTCAGTGCAAGATTGCGTGAACGTTTACTTGGATCTCAATTTAGGATTCAGCCTCGTGACCAGTAGGTGTGTTTGCTGGTGTGACCTCTATCCTGTTACCTAGTCAACTCATTACCTTTTAGACCCCTGTGTCAGTCTGCTGTTTTGAATGTCTGTAACTTTGATCTTACCTTTGTTTACCCTTCTAGAGGTAGATGAAGGGAATTATTTGAGGCAGGTGCTTGTGTGTAGTGTTGGTATTTTTGTTGTGTCTGTGTGAGATTTAGTTGTATGTAGCATGGCGCTATAGTTCATAGTGTGTGAAGTTGACCAATAGTTTACAAACATGAGGATTTGACCCCACCCCAGTCTAGGTCAATACCATGGTAACTGTTGCCCAGATACAATCTCTGGCTAGTGATTGGTCCTATCCTTCGGAGCAAGACCGAGATTGGCTCACACACTTTAAAGGCCTAAACAAATGCTTTTGAACTTAAAAGTTGGTTTAATGTCTTTAAAAATCTTTAGCTGGAGGGTTGACAACCCTGTAGTTGAAACAAAACAGGACCAAGGAAGGAGGAACAACAGCATAACACATAACAAGGAGAACAAGACTTCATTGTCTGTCGATTCTTTAAAAAATCTTCAACAATGCTCTAGCTTTGTCACACACACAAAGAGCGACAGGGCCCACTATTGGGGACAGAGCACACAGCCATCACTGACCACATGAAGAGAGCACTGTCACCACATAGCAACAGCCTGTCCAATACAAGCTACATGGTCGTCGCAACAGTTACCTCAGCACAATCAACTAATTAGAGTTGAAGCAATATTGATATTACCTGGGTGAGGGTCAGAGAAAGGGACAGGGTGAGATGTGCTCTAGTTAAGCCAGCTCAGAGGTCATCTTTAGTGTTACATAGTATAGGACGCTAAGCTCCAGTCAAAATCCTGCACACATGTGCATCATACACACACAGAGGTCACAAACATATACACATTCAACACCAGCTGTCTTGTCCCCAATTGCCCATATAGACCTTGATAATGTGTATGTATTATGCAAGTGTACTCTCAGGATAAGAGGGTCCCTAACTTTTGTTTGTACTCCCATGGACTCTCTACCAGGGAGAAGACCGAGTTCCAGGCAGCAGTCCCACGTTTACCATCCCTGCCTTTGGGCTGAAGCCTCGCTCAGGTGAGTGCAGGCTGGGCATGGCACAGTATGGGGGGTGGGTAGAGGACTGGATGGATGGGTGGGTGATGGGATGGGCACATCTCTATACCTATCACAGTCCATAATTACATGATACTACTGTCTACAGTCCCTGATAGGGTCCATCCGTAAATCCATCCTTTCACTCCAACATAAAGACATGGATGCCCTCAATCCCCTCTGCTCTGCTTCTCCCCCAAACCCCATATCCTCCCACACCCCGATCCTACTTTTATGGGGTTATAAGATTATCCCAAAGTAAGAAAGATGTGGGCAGTTCCTCCAATTGTCACGAGTCAATCGCCCCCCAACTTGTTCACCTCAGACTAGAACTTCTGAGGCATACAATATCTCATAACACCCTCTGTGCTCAAGTCCCCTAAAGCAGCAGCAGTTGGGTCATGCTGTAGAGGCTACCAGCCCTGTCCTGACTAACATGCAATGCTCCCACAATGTTTCTGTCATGCTGTGTGAACAATATGGAAAAAGTGATGTGTGTTTGCTGAGAAGAGTGGATGTGAGTACTCTGCACCCAAACCCAACGTGTGGCTATGGAGGAAGACGCATACCAAGTGTCATTCTTCTTTTAGCTAACTAACTGGAGGACTGGTTAGCTACCTCCCATGGAACAGAGCAGATCCACAGATTCTGAGTTGAGAAAAAAAATCCTTTACAAATCCTCTGTACCTGTCTGGTACTCTTCATGGTCAGATGGCTTTGGGTGCAGGTTCACTGAAACAACTCTAGCATCTGATATTTGCTGCTTGTAGAAATAGAGCTAGCATCCATCCATCCAGCTAGTTGCTACGTACAGTAGGCTACTACTGTAGTGTGTGAAATTTAGCTTTAGGCTACCTGCTACCATTAACAGCATGTCATTGAATCTGTATTGTGAAATGGCACTAATATTGATTTATTTTCTTCTATGTATTTTTTATTTTTATGGCATCTCTTTCACATCTCCTTTGTTTCTTCCTTTCCTCCCCCTCTCCTTTACTCCCTTTCTATCTTTTCACCGACTGCTGCATGACCTCTTACACCAATTCTCACTCCAATCACATCCCTTTATCTAACCCAACCTGCCTTTGCATGCGATTATCAACTGCTGCTGCCTGTTTCGTTCCCTTGTCTTTTAAAATTCAAACCGTTTTTTTCCGGAACTTTCTCTGGTGTCTCGGGGGGTGGGTGTGGTTTCGGGTTTTGGAATGGATCTGTCTTCTACTTGGCCTCTCCCCCTGTACCTTGCCCCACCCTGCCCTTCGACCCTCCCCCTCTTCCTCTAGCCCCCGCCTCACTGCCCTGCTCGCCCCCGCCCTGTCTCCGCCCCCTCCTCACACAGGCCCTGTCCGTCGATAGAGACACTCCCCCTAGACCAGTCGATGGAGGCATGCACAGCAGTGGTAGGTCACTCCTCCCAACTAATTGGCCAATCGGAGGCCTCGAAACCAAACACAGCTAGACACAGTCTCAGATGTTTGCAAACTATTTGCATTTGTGTGACGCGTTCCTGTTTCTCTCTCTCTCTCCTTCTCTCACTGTTTCCTTTTTCTATATTTCCACCTGTAACTCTTTCTATCTATTACACTCTCTGTGATCTCTCATCTTCTCTCTATCCCTCGTTCCAAGTGTGTGTGATGAAAGTGTGCACGGTACTTTTGTGGTCACATGTGTGCCTTGGACCACATGTTTGGGGTGTTTTCGATTACTCCGCTCCCTGACGTATGTGTGTGTGTGTGTGTGACGGAGCAGAACTCTGAAGCCCAGAGGATAAAAGGAGAGCCTCCACACTTCACACACTCCTCCTCTTCCTTCATCTTTCCATCCCACCATCTGTTCTCATGTTGGCGAGTGTGTTGTGGTCATGGTGGTGTGTGTTATGGTGGTGGTGGTGGCACATGGTAAAAGTTAAACCTTGTGTCTGTACGTCACTGCATCAATGTGGTTGAAGACATTGGAAGGGGGTCTGCTATACAGAAGCTAGTTCCAAGACCACCCAACAACACACACCCACATAGACACTGTCTGATGCACATACACATTTATACACACAGATGTGTGTGTTTCTGTGTTTGAGTATTTTGTCTAGTGCTGGACATTACCATATTCTGTCTGACAGAGAGAACGTGTTAATTCCTCCTGCAGTCATTATCAGACAGTATGTTCACTCCCAGTACAACCACAGTCCAGATCTGGCAACACACATAGACGCCTCCATTAAGTCCCCTTTGATACGGGCTCTGCCTAACAGTGCATTATAGCCTTTGGAAAAACCCATTAAACACAGACACAGGATCTTTCATGCCAGGGCTGGGATATCTGATGTCATGCACACACTTACACTCACTCACTCAGCCCAGTACGTACGTACGTACGGACGGAGTATCGTGTTGTTCCTCTCCCCTGGCTTCCTTTCTATAGCTCATGGTATTTATAGTTTTATATTTTAACTGTTAGATAATGGTCGTCCCATATAGATTGCAAAATAGTTGGGAAGAGATTTTTGACGTACAAATTCCATGGCATAGTGTTTATGAACTGATACGCAAAACGACGCCGGATTCAAAACTTAGAATTTTTCAATTTAAATTATTATATACAATTCTTGCTACCAATATAATGTTATTTGTATGGGGGATACAATCTTCCCAGCTCTGCAGATTTGGCTGTGAAGAGACAGAATCATTAGAAAATTTGTTTTGGTACTGTCCATTTACAGCTTGTTTCTAGGACACAGGTCCAGGAATGGCTGAAGGATTGCAATATTTGCATGGAGCTGACCCTGCAGATAGCACTACTGGGTGATCTGAAAAGTCATAGTCAATCGATCAATGATATAATAATACTTTTAGCAAAGATGTTTATTTTCAATTCACAAACTGTAGAAACAATGAGAATAGAAAGGTTCAGAAATTTGAAAAATATATGGCAAATAGAAATCCAATATGGATGGTGTTACGAGATAGATGGGAGGTGTTGAATGGAGCTGAAGGATGGGACTAATAACAACAACTAATAACAGCAAGATAACTAGTGTAAGACATGCTGTGTCCATAATAAGTATATAGGTTATATATTGTGAGCTTTTGTGAAAGAGCACAGTTAGAAAGATATGGCATATAGAAGCATACCAGATGGACATCATGAAAATGATCGGAGGAAGTTCAGGAGTAAAAACAAACAAAATATAATTAGTGACTGTGTCCATAAAATGTATATAGTATGTATAAGCATGAAGTAGAGGCCTAAGCGTTGTTGTTCACTAGTTTACTCCAATTAGGAAGGGGATGATGGGGTTGGAAAGTAATAAAGGGATATATATTTTTAAAGGATATGTATGTATGTATGTATATATGTGTATGTATGTGTATATACAGTGAGGGAAAAAAGTATTTGATCCCCTGCTGATTTTGAACGTTTGCCCACTGACAAAGACATGATCAGTCTATAATTTTAATGGTAGGTTTATTTGAACAGTGAGAGACAGAATAACAACAAAAAAATACAGAAAAACACATGTCAAAAATGTTATAAATTGATTTGCATTTTAATGAGGGAAATAAGTATTTGACCCCCTCTCAATCAGAAAGATTTCTGGCTCCCAGGTGTCTTTTATACAGGTAAAGAGCTGAGATTAGGAGCACACTCTTAAAAGGAGTGCTCCTAATCTCAGTTTGTTACCTGTATAAAATACACCTGTCCACAGAAGCAATCAATCAATCAGATTCCAAACTCCCCACCATGGCCAAGACCAAAGAGCTCTCCAAGGATGTCAGGGACAAGATTGTAGACCTACAGAAGGCTGGAATGGGCTACAATACCATCGCCAAGCAGCTTGGTGAGAAGGTGACAACAGTTGGTGCGATTATTCGCAAATGGAAGAAACACAAAAGACTGTCAATCTCCCTCGGCCTGGGGCTCCATGCAAGATCTCACCTCGTGGAGTTGCAATGATAAAATACATATGGGGGATTGGAAGTGATGCAGACATTACATTGACGGAAGTTACAATCTATCTGCAATATTAAAGCTGATCAACCACCTACATTTTTTTATATATTCCCCTTTGATACGGGCTCTGCCTAACAGTGCTTTATAGCCTTTGGAAAAACCCATTAAACACAGACACAGGATCTTTCATGCCAGGGCTGGGATATCTGATGTCATGCACACACTTACACTCACTCACTCAGCCCAGTACGTACGTACGGACGGAGTATCGTGCTGTTCCTCTCCCCTGGCTTCCTTTCTATAGCTCATGGTATTTATGGTTTTATATTTTAACTGTTAGATAATGGTCTCACTGGGGATATCCCACTTCCATCAGGAGGGAAACAGAGAGCTGCCGACAGCCATTTCCCCCCCAGGGTGACTTATGTTACATGAATGTTCAACATTGTTCAAAGGGTGCGCTTTTATGATATCAGCATGGATTCAAAGTCAATATTAAGTTTTTATCACTCTCCCGTTGCTAATGATAATAGTTCAATAGGTAGATTATAATAACAAAGACATTCAGAAAGAATGCCCCAAAGAAAGAAAATAGGGGTGTTGAAAGGAGCAGTAATGTTGGACAATCTGTCATATGGAATTCCCTAGTAGTGAGAACAGTGGTGATAGCTTTGTTTTTCAATGAAGATATAACCAGTCACTAGTAAACGGGTCATGCCTCAGGGAGGTGACATCACCAGTAACCAATAGGTGAGATCACGAGTGGCTGACCTCATTAACAGCCAATGAGCTCTCAGTCTAAGGGCACAATTCCAAGTGTGTCTAGGGCAGGTATCTCCAACCCTGTTCCTGGAGACCTACCGTCCTGTAGGTTTTCACACCAACCCTAATCTAGCACACCTGATTCTAATAATTAGCTGGTTGAAAATATTAATCAGGTTAGTTACAACTGGGGTTGGTGCGAAAACCTACAGGAGAGTAGCTCTCCAGGAACAGGCTTGGAGAGCCCTGGTCTAGGGTCACACCATCACCAGTCGTTGGTAACGCAGTTACACAGCCTGTTTGTGTGTGGATGCCTGAGGGCTGAACGAGGAAGCAGAATGACTGTACTGATACTGAATGACCCTGTGGTGCAGTAGCTTTTATTAACCTTTGAACTCGTAAACAACACCAGCTGTTGACAGTTTTAATTTCCGTGGGTCGGTGATGTCACACAGTAGCAGCCCTGACTAGAGAGGAACCAGGATTTTAGACTTCCTCTCTGATACAGGATTTCCTTCTGGGGTAGAACGCCACTGGGCTGCCATTAGACAGTGTAAAATTGGGTTTGTTGTTGAAAGCAGGGCACACAAGTATTCCTCTTTCCGTCTCGCTTGCTCTCTCTCTGACCCCCTCACCACTCAGTGTGTGCCCTCAGAGACCCTATCTGTGTCTATTACTCTGGAACAAATGAACGCCATGTATTACACACACACTATATTTACAGTGGGGAGAACAAGTATTTGATACACTGCCAATTTTGCAGGTTTTCCTACTTACAAAGCATGTAGAGGTCTTTAATTTTTATCATAGGTACACTTCAACTGTGAGAGACGGAATCTAAAACAAAAATCCAGAAAATCACATTGTATGATTTTAAAGTAATTAATTTGCATTTTATTGCATGACATAAGTATTTGATACATCAGAAAAGCAGAACATAATATTTGGTACAGAAACCTTTGTTTGCAATTACAAAAATCATACGTTTCCTGTAGGTCTTGACCAGGTTTGCACACACTGCAGCAGGGATTTTGGCCCACTCCTCCATACCTTCTCCAGATCCTTCAGGGTTCGGGGCTGTCGCTGGGCAATACAGACTTTCAGCTCCCTCCAAATATTTTCTATTGGGTTCAGGTCTGGAGACTGGCTAGGCCACTCCAGGACCTTGAGATGCTTCTTACGGAGCCACTCCTTAGTTGCCCTGGCTGTGTGTTTCGGGTCGTTGTCATGCTGGAAGACCCAGCCACGACCCATCTTCAATGCTCTTACTGAGGGAAGGAGGTTGTTGGCCAAGATCTCGCGATACATGGCCCCATCCATCCTCCCCTCAATACGGTGCAGTCGTCCTGTCCCCTTTGCAGAAAAGCAACCCCAAAGAATGATGTTTCCACCTCCATGCTTCACGGTTGGGATGGTGTTCTTGGGGTTGTACTCATCCTTCTTCTTCCTCCAAACACGGCGAGTGGAGTTTAGACCAAAAAGCTATATTTTTGTCTCATCAGACCACATGACCTTCTCCCATTCCTCCTCTGGATCATTCAGATTGTCATTGGCAAACTTCAGACGGGCCTGGACATGCGCTGGCTTGAGCAGGGGGACCTTGCGTGCGCTGTAGGATTTTAATCCATGACGGCGTAGTGTGTTACTAATGGTTTTCTTTGAGACTATGGTCCCAGCTCTCTTCAG